CCTAATTTGATGAAATTGTATAGATTGGTTTACATGCTATCGACTTTCTATACTTCCTTTGCCATCCTGACGTTTTATCAATCAATTTTCTGATCTGTTCAAAGGACATATTTGGAGAAGGTCGATTTTTCAAATTTATTTTGTTTAACATCACGCAAGTTTGTTGCTTGGAGTTTCCTCAATCTTTTATTTGCCGCAAGTAGGCACAAGAACAATCACTGTGGTTCTTTGTAGTTTAACGCCACATACAATCCATAGTCTGTAACTACGGCAAAAACATCTTCAGAATCGAGAGCTGCTATAGCACGCTTACAATGTCAGTTTGATTCCATTTTCGCAATCTGTAATATGATCCGATTGGTGTCTATATTTTGCTCTTTCATCATATATATCCCAGTATTGCATCAACAATCAATTTATTGATATGCCCTTGCCTTTGTGGGTTTCGTACTAGGCTAAAGAAATTTATATATTTTTTTTAATATGAATCGTTATGATAAATCTGTAATAAAAGTAATTCACCTGTAACATGGAGCAATGCTCCAATCTCCTCCCAGTTGTTTGATTTTATATTCCCTTTCCTATAATGCATTCATTCATCCCATTGTGAAGTTTGGTTGCGATGTATATTGCAACTGTGGCTAAAATGAATTTCTTCTCTTTTATAAATTGTTTTGATTTAGTTTTCAGTTCTTCTACAAATTGATCTGGACTTGATTTGTCTCAGAAAGTCAGTTGTTTCATACGTGAGTGGAATCACGTGATTCTGGGCAACTTTTGCAGCAACATATCCAGCTCTATCGGAACATGTCTATATACCTTCCACAGATTCGTTGCTTTTCCCGCTTTGTCGATGAAGTTTAGCAGATGCATAGAACGCAACTATAGTGTGGATGTATTTACCGCTAGAAATAAATTCTTTTCCTAGTTCCACGTCTTCTATTTTTAAAGGTGACCGTACATTTGAACCCATGCGTATATCCACGGGTTCAATCTATATGCGGGTGCTAAAACCGATGGGTTAGGGTTAGTATGGGTTTAACTATCCGTGAAACAAAAAAAATTCCATAGGTGCAATAGCATACAGGTGCAATTGTCATGGGTTCAAATGTACGTGGGTTCAAATGTAATGGAACCATTTTTAAAATATACGATTTTATTATCTTCTCATCATTTGTGTATTTTATAATGATTATGATATTCGCGCATAGTCTTCCAGATGCCTCGTGAAGGCGCTCGCAACCCTTGATGCTTATTTGACAAAGAATGTTTCTCCAAACGTATCCCTGTAGTCCTGTCGCCTCATGTCATTTAAACATGGTCTAGCTCAGGGGTGGGCACAATTTTTTAGTATAAGAGCCGCATGCTGCAAGTCAGAACTTTAAAAGAGCTGCAAAATTTGTGAATTTATTGATATTCTCAAAATACCATGAACAGAAAAAAATTCACACAAGAGTCTAATAACAAGGAATAGATAAACAAGGCAGCTAAACTCAAATATATGCACAATTTGAGCTCATTCAATTTGTGTTTCCTTATAGCTGATTTACGAGGGTAGTCTCGTAAGAGGTTTTCATGATTCGTATCGTGGTGCCATTTAACATTGCTGACTTTATTCTGACTTAGTAGCTTATGACAGATTAAGCACAAAGATTTATTCTCCTGACTGGTAAATGCGTATTCTTCTTGCCATTCTGACTTGACAACTCTGTTTTCATCTTCGTACTTTTGTTTTTTAATTGAGGACTTATCGCACAGTAACTTAGACCAGTGTTCTTCAACCGGGTATACGGTATACATTTGTGTATACCAGACCACAAGTTGGGTATACAACTGATATAGGGTATATGAAAGGTGTACAGCCTATAAAATATTCAATTGGATACAACAATGCAAACGCGGCGCACATGAAATATAAAATGTTATTAACGCTAAGAACCGACGTGAGCACGTTGTTACATCACAAATTATATAGATAATACGGGCATGTGTCTGGGTTGGTGATTTCGGCTGCCATGCACCTTGTTTGATTTACGTCGAACAATATTCCCGTCGACGCTAAGGCAGTCAAATTTATAACTTGCGGTCACTAGCCTGATGATATTGCAGTACAATATGTGCCTAAATTGTATTGTTTATTTGAGCCTTAAATAAACATTGGTATTTGTAAGGTATACAAAGTTCTTGAAAAACTGTAAAAGGTATACTTCGATTAAAAAAAGGTTGAAGAACACTGACTTTGACTAACTAACCGCAATCAACCGCCGACGCATCAATAAACATTGACCATTGTGACAAAAGATTTGCTGACTTGACTGACTTAAATAATAAATTACAAGAGTTTACATTGAAGTTTTTCTCTTAGTTAAAAATTGGATAATAATTTATGTTAGCGAGAAGAGCCGCACAAAAAGTCTGGCGAGCCGCGGTGTGCCCACCCCTGGTCTAGCTTCAACCTCAATTATTCAAATGACACTGTTTGCAAACTATAAGTACAGGATCAACTTATGAACTAACAATGCACGCAAACGTGATATACTTACGCAATGTTAACTCAGTTATTCCAGGTTAGTCTCAAGACATGATGCGACTACCAACACATTCGCGAATATTGGCCGCAATCAGGACGTTGTAACTGGGATTGAACTTTGCGGAATTTTATACGAATTTCCTTTCGGCCGCTCCAATCTAGCTGTGATACCGATATGTGAGATCGGGTTCGTCCCGGCAAAATATGAGTGAAGCTGCGGCCCAATCATATGTGTTTTTGCTTCTGGTGTGAACATGTAAAATCGGAATCAAATAGGATTTTTTTGTTAAGGCTGTCTTCGCAGATATAGGTTGCCAGCTTTGTTCATTTTGATATGTATCACCACAAGTTTTAGCGGCGTCTCTGTCTATTAAAAATATTTGACCCACTTTCTTGATTGGTCACTAATTCTGCCTTCTCATTCTTCGCAAACTCTTTAGCTCTCGACTCCTCTGTAGTAAATCATTTAACTAAGCAAACTATCTTAGGCGCCATTGAGCTGTACTGCCCCTTTCGGGATTGAATTTGTTTTTTCAAAGTCATTGCGTTTTTTTTGCGCGCGCTTGATAACGCTGCCAGTCGCATCAAATTAAACACCGTCCGACGGTACCGTATTATTTACATCCAAGGCAAATTCCCAGCTTATTCCAAGATCAGTATACTTGACATGCTTTCCATCTACTGAAGGCAACACGTTGTTTGGATATCGGTAGGCAAGGGCTTCTCAAAATACTCAAATGTTAAGAACCGCAGTTTCATGGAGACACAGGAATGAATTGTTTAAATATAACTATAACGTTACTTGTAACAATGTAATTAAATTACTCACCAGGCTTCGTTAGGCTTTCAAAGTCGGTTAGACCGGGCATTCTCTTGCTTTCTTTCTTCATTACTGGCCAAACATTTACTTTTGCCAGCAGTGGCGTAGTCCCCCATCGCAAAAATATTTCGTGGAAATGACCCTAAAAACTCTCGGACATAAGCTAAAACAACGCTTTTTTATTATTTCGTCAAAAAGCATAGCATGTCGCTATTAAAAGGCTATGATAACATAAAACTTGCCGTTTATCTTGGTTACTTTTTTTTTCATGCGTTTCTGTGCGCCACTGAGAAGTTATGCTTTCGACATCATTCTGACAGCCTTCGTAATTTTGCTGGTGCGATCAAAACCATGGTTAACTAAATATAGTTCGCCCACGGCCGTTCGCTACGCATGAGCGATGCGTTACTAAGTCATCAATTTGCAATATTTTGAAGGTTATGGAAGAGGATTTCCTTTTAAATTTACTTGCGTATTTGTGATGGTTTTATTGATGCAAATAACTAAAAAGATATACTGAGGCATTAGGATAAAGTAGGAGGTCGTGGCATATGGCAGCCATCCCTGCATCGGTACCATAACTTACCATATCAAAGTGAAAGAGGGGCAGAGTAGCCTAAAAGTTTATAGCAGGATTATACAGTTATAGCACAGTTCACTGTAATAATATTCCTACCACAGCCCACAGCAGTTGGTATTTTATTTTTTCAAATTATAGGATACCCAGATATCCCTCAGCCTAAGATACTGGTACTCCTGCACTCGGTGGCCAAGATCTGAAGACTGATATACACTGAAATATGGAAATCTCAATTATTGCTAAATTTGAGTCAAAAGTTTTGGTAAACGAGCATTGTGCGTTATAAACTTTATCCACGAGTTTTGCTCGTTGTAATAATATTTAGCATCATCTAAAACCCGATTTTGTATTTATCATTTAGGTTCTCAACAAGTTATGCCCACATTATAGGAATTCATCTCAGAATATGTCGTTTTTGTACAAGTATTAATTGCTCATTAGTCATCTTTAATTTGAACCTTAATCATACAAGCAAATATGGTGAGAGGTAACCTCGATGACCATATTGCTCACCCCTGTCCAAACCAAAACAATTTTCTATTTATGTCACATTTTTTAATTGTTTTGATGACTACTGAAATAACAGAATATCTGATCAAAGTAAACTACAGCTTCGCTACAAAACTTGGTTGGTAACGGCCTAATAATTAATTTTGGTCCCCACACTTTTTAATAACCTGGAAGTCCAAGTGGTTCTTCTAACGCTTATTTTACCTTCAATGCAGAATATTATTTAAATTCTCTATCAACTAACTATTCAAAATGACCACCAATACTGATATTAGTGAATACTTGACACCAGACGTAATAGACGAGTTGATGCGCACTGAAATAGATGGAGAATGCGCAGTAAAGGTTGACTGCAATACAAAAGAACTCTCTATATCAGTTGAATCTGTACACGGTTTGATGAAGAGTGTACGTTCGGATGTACAGCTTTCAGATTTTGGTGTAAATATATTGAAAGATTGGATGGAGTGCTTTAATCGCAATAAAAATCCAGAGGTAATTGTTGGTCAGATACCAAGTACTGTTGTAAAGCAAAATCTTTTTTCAACTCTCGTGTTTTGACAGGCTCAGAAGCTGCGAATTTATTGAATGAAATTATCGAAAAAGTTGTAACAAAGAAAGAAGAAACATGTGAAATAATTGCAAGTGAAGTAACTAAATCTGAAAACGATATCTTAGAATTCCTTGGAGGTGCAATGTTGAAAATTTTGAAAAAAAAAAATTAAATTCTGCTGTCATCCAGAAGATGTCTGCCACCACTTCTCAAGGATCTTTGATACCCCTCATGAACAAAGGGTCAGATTCACTTTTGCTCCTGTGCCCATCTCCAGAATACTTGTTATTCATTCAGCATATCTATATTAAATTTTCCAAAGAAGCTTGTAAAAATCCCAATAATATTCAGTTCAATACAGTTGCTACAGATGTTCTCACTGGACAATATTCAAGAAACTTTATATTACACATTGAACGGCAGTGTGATGAAGAATTGTCGGATGATATAGAACGAGTGGTATCATACGGCGTTAACCTGTTGGTTCGAATGTTGTCTTACACATTCGCAAAAAAGCTTTTTTCACGCATGCATGGTAAATCATCATCATTTTCTGCCGGATTGCGTGGGGATCTCAAGAAACAGCTTTTGTAACTTGCTTTAAAATATTGCCTAGTCTGCCGGTATCAGTTTTGCTTTTCAATTCGCTAATAGGTTTACCAAAATAAATTATGTTTGTATTTGTATAAATGTTTGTATTTGTATTTAAACTGCCGGTCGATATTGGTAACAAGCCAACACACCACGACAAGGTTTCGACCATTGTGTTGGTATTTATCCTTGCATAGATAGGCAGAATTGCTATGCAAGGAAAACATATGAATGAAAGACTCACTTGGATTTCTTTATCGGGAGAGGATCATTGCACACAGTTGTCCAACCATTCACCTTTCCATATGTGGTGTTGCCCCCTTTAATTTTTTTGATGATTCTTCTTTGTGTTATGTGACTAATTCCGTAGGCTGCCATGGCAATGTCAGGATTCTGTCCTCTACTTCCAAGTTGCCTCTTAAATAGAAAGCTCGTTAAACCTGAGCATTTCATGTCACTTACCTCATCAAGACATAGTTACCATATTTAAAAAAATCTGTACTTACCAAATTTCCAAAAAAAGCCTCTAGCACGTCTTGTGTGAAAGTATGAAAACACACATAATCGAGCTCCGATAGTAACCGCTCACAAAGGTGGATGAAATTTTTTGACGTGAAAACTAAACCTTCAAGAGTTGGAATTGCCATGACACGCTTTGGTTCTTTATGATGAGTCAAAGCATCGTTCTGCATAAAACAAGGAGGTTGAAAGTTCATTCATGTCATACACAGCAAAAATATTGAAAATTATGCGAATTTTTTCAGATTGGCCCCAGCCGAGGAAGTGCACGTTGGAATTTATTCAATCTGGGTTTGACAATCACTGAAATAAATGTCTGTTGTATTATAAATACTATTATAATGCAGAAATATTTTAGATTACTTTCCAGCCCACAAGTAGCTCAGCGAACTCATCCAACCATTTGATACGAACATCATCCATGCTCCTAATTGGACATCGAGCATTGCAGTTTACAATCTTGAACCAACTAAAAAGAAACAACTAATCAATAACATATCAATCACCATTATTTGTAAAAATCTCATTTTCCAATTTTTCGCCTTATACTACTTGCCTGTCCATCATCAGAATATACTCGGATGTGCCCTCAGCCCCCGGGATCTCTGACAAACATTGGCCCACTTTCCAACTGAGCACGTCGCGTGCCAATCCAACTTTCATCTATGCAGAATAATTGTTATGTAAAAAAATAACGATATCCCAACTTCAGCATACATAAAAACTAACATTATGAGTTTCCTCAGCAACCTTTTGTATCTTAGAAAATGGATTCAGATAAATGTGGGCATCACTGAGTCGAGTCCTTGTGAGGGCCAAACTTGATTTTTCCATTTCATATAGCTTTAAGACATCTGTCCAGAGCACATCACGTCCATATAAATTCATATATCTAGAGCCACTTGGTTTTGAGAAAAACAATGAGTTCCGAGCAGTCTGTTTTAAAAACATATCATTTAGAAAATATATCACAAACATTCATGTTCTGAAAAGGGTTTTATCAAAAAAAGTTAACAGTTCTAAAGCATGTCAGCCGGCCGTGTGGATTTGGAGCGACGTAAATGCCATCCATAGGGGGACCAGATAATCCACTGACAAGTTTAAAAAATCTCCGATTGGTTGCCATTCCATCTGCAACTATAGCATGTATGTGACGCCCTCTTCTCTCACATTCGTAAAGAATTCTCCAGAAGAGAAGCGCTAACTGTGCTGGTGGTGTCACAGTAGTGGGGTACCATGCTAGAGGAAGTGACACCTCTCGTTTGATGGTCCTCACATAAAATACTGTCAAGAAAACTGTCATTGAAGTTGCAATTACGTAGCAAAGATATATAGGTTATTTATGCAGATACATACCAAATATGTGACTTGCGATTTGACAGCGGCTGGATAAACTTGATTTTACAAATCATATCAGTTGACCATCACGCACGACAACATTTTCTTTAACTGGTAAAGTCATATAATCATGATGATAATCATAATCAAAATTTTTTATATAGATAAAGCAATCAAATGATAAGCCACATACTTTTCATTTCATCCAGCGTAAGATAGCCAGGAAGTGTGCGATGTTCCTTCATGACTCTTTCTATTTCGCAGAGGGCCATTTCACATAGACCGGGCTTGGGAGTCAGGTAATTCCTAAATATAAAACATATGGTATGAAAAACACAAACTGAATAAGGATTCTAAGGAACAAAAAAATTCTTGCACAAAGAAACTGACACATGTAACTTCTCAATGACAATAAAAAACTTAACCAAAGCTTAAATTTCTTAACTGACATGACCACAATGGTACCTGTATCTTCGTATGGTACTACTAGACGGTAATATTAAAACATTGCTTGTTCGTATGTGGTCATATGCGGCAGGTGACCTGCAATTAGACAAAAAAATTTGATTCTACTAAAAAAAACAAATATTTAGCTGCTAGTTTCTAGCATTCTGATAGATTTTAAAGATCGATGATTATTATATACACATTATTGTCGGCAAAGAAATATTTATATCTCATAAATTTAACTCCCTTATAATATATTAGGCATTTGGAACTTCCTACCTGGAATAAAGCTCAATGGCCCAGCGAATGGTATCGGGATGATATCTTCTTTGGTGAGCCGGAAGAGATGCATTTTTTACTTGGTTACTGTAAAACATGAGTTGCCATTCATTGAGGGAGCGGTGCTCGTCCTCAAATACACCCTGAATCAGGAAAATGAGTATATACATATAAACAACTGAATAAAAGTACATTACAAATTAATTCAAATTAAAGCCACTTTAATGGGGTCTTCCTCAGTAGCATCAGTAACCTCATAAAGAACCTCATCCTGGGATGAAAATTGAGTGCATTTTACACAAACACTTGAGTTGTTGTTAACTGAAATATACATTATATAATCTCCAATTATTTATACTCAATAACTTTCTAGAAAATGGAGTAAAATTTGATATAAATGTGTACAATATGAGAAAACATCACTGTGCAAATTCATCTCCATTCTTATTAGATCTACTCTTTTACACTCGGTAACTTTATTCATCTACCTAAATAAAGCTTTAATTCTACTCACTTAATATACTACACTCAGGTGATCTATGCAGGGTGTCAAAAACAACCTTCTCTCCATCCCATCTCAGAATTGGGTGATCATTCGCTCCCAACATAGCTCTACCCATGCCTTGGCAAATCTTAATACTTTCCAAATAAACTGAAGAATATATTTGATTTTAGAAGTGAACCATTTTATTATATGCAAGCCTAACAGAAACTTACTCAAATAGGCATGCATCGTTTCATGGAGAGGATCACCAATCATCGAACCCAAGACATCAAGGTCAACAAACCAGCCAAATACGGCAAGGCACACCAACTTAGCTGGTTCGTTGAATTGGATTCTATTAAATAATTCATCAAGCCCATTATAATAATATTGCGAAAAGGAGATTTTACGATACGACAAATTAATCAAAATTAGGTTATCAATAAAAAGAGTAGAAAAATTTATGACAAGAATGAGACCTTAATTTCGGAACAATGAAACCTCTCTCCTTTAATTCGGCTGTAAAACAATTCTCCTTGTCTTGATAAAATACCCATTTTTCTGCAAATAATTTAAATTCATTAGCTTATAAAGTTTAATAGATTATCTTCATACCTGAAATCAAAAAATGATAACTCTACCAAGGAGAAATCTTGCAGTATCTTTATGGATATATTATTCTCACCTTTCATGCTCAAACTAAGCTTATTAGCAGATTTTTTCAAATCTGCTATGCTGTTGTGCCTGACCTTCTCAATGCTGACTATCTCAGCTGGTGGCTTTCTACTCGTATTTGGTTTTACGGCCTTTGGCAGCTGCAGGCTTGGTCTTGCACCCAGTTTCAATGCTACAGACTTGCCGTTTCCTATAATATCTCCCTCATGGAAATGAGCTTCACATATGGATGCTCTGAATATGAACAAGATACGGTACCAATACCAAAATATGTCAAAATTGTGTAGTACAGCTGTAGGTCAACCATCTAAAGCAAGGGTCTCAAACTCGCAGGACATTAGTTTATATTGATAAACTGTAACAATGTTTTCCATGTGGTGAGACATTACTGTCTTTAAACTAACCTTTCATTGTGGAAAACTTGATGCAGTGATGCGGCCTGGACCCTCTCCGAGTCCCGATTATGCCTCCAGTGGCCCTTGGGTAAATTGAGTTCGAGACCCCTGTTCTAAAGGAACTCAGTCTCTAATTAGTACGGTAGGGTACTTTATTTACAATGCTATATCCTGATATCTGTAGACTATATCATAGTCTATCTATCTTATTTCAGTATTGACCTTGGGTCTGCAAGATAGAACCTTCCGAATCCAAATACCTCATAGGGACTCACGAATAAAGAAAGACAATCCGACTAAACTAGCCTCTTTCTGCTATTCAATCTTCAGAGCTGACTTGTGACCCTGAACAAAGCATTTTCAACTTGCCTGACATAAATCTATAAATACTGAAATATACACACGATTCTTTGTGCAACATTTCCTTTATATTATCTCCCCGTGATGCATCTCGCATGGAAAGCATAAATCTTGTTAACGCAATCCGATGCTCCCTTTCTTCCTCATTCCTTGCTAAATCGGGCCTTCTGATACAAAACAGACTTCTTTTCTCAACTTTTTGTCTACTCCATGAGCACCCAGGCACAGAACAGTGTGTGGAAGGCATTTTTCTATTTTTAAATAGTATGGTACCGGTAGCAATTGATCTCTGTCAAAGGCACAGCCATTAAAACAACATATAACCGAATATCGAGTCAGTCCGTTAACCTAAATCTTTTTTTTTTTTTTCTTGCCAAATTTAAATCCATCGCCAATTCGGATTTATGATATTGATAGTTTTGGTTTATCCAAATATATTATTTAAATTTAGTTGCATGAATCCCCCTTTTTCCAGGTAATTTAGGTGATATTATAGATCATATAAGTATACAATCTGTACATAGATAAATATTGATAAATTTTAAACAAACCAGATACATTTACCCATATTAGTCCAGAAATCCAATTTAAATTGTGTCCATATTCATGTAATGATAATCCAAGTATCCATGAGATCCAGTGACCGTTGAAAACATTATACCATTCAACATATATTTTAAATTTATCCATTATTAGCATTTAATATCAAAAACAATATTTTTAAAGAATTAGACAAAAATCAGAAAAACACCTAACATGCCATTAGGTGTTCTCTACATTTTCAGTCTATGTAACCCAATGTTGTACGAAAAACTAGACATTTTACATAAAATTAGACAAATATGGTACGGTATACAATGAATCCTGGTACCAGAATGTCATGGGTTGGCCAGTGATCGCAGAGTGTTGTTGACTGTGTTGGGAAAATGTATATAAATATTATAACCTAACCTAAATCCTTAACCTAATCGTTAACCTAAATCCTTATTCAACATCGGCTACAGCAAATTAGCTGAGGAAATACACGGGCCGCAATATCGCGTTGAAGGAATTCCATGACGCATCGCTCAAGCGGAACGAGAGAACAATTTAACATAAATAAACAAAGACGAAAAAAGCGTGAGCCAACTATATTCAGTTAACCATGTCAAAACACAAGACGCCAAATATCGACGACTCTCTGGCATTGTTACGTAACAAAACGATTTGAGCAGAACTAACATCAACGTTATAAGAGGTGCATTACTGGTTTCGCAATGCAGCTTTTGGTTTTGCGGCTTAATTCTAACCGTCTGGGCCTCTTTGCGCTGTGGGCTCTCCCGCGACCGCGGGGGTTGCAGGGGTGGATGCTACGCCACTGTTTGTCAGTGACTTTTGCAAAGCTATTAGAATTTATAGATCTGTTTTTTCAAAATCTTAGTAGTCTGGAGTCTACTGATCACGGTGTGAGTTAAATGAATCGGCTCTTTTCCTATTGTTAACATATAAGTATATGATAATGGAAAGATATAGTTTCAAACTCTGGAACAGTAAATGCCGATTCGATAGGATAACGTCAGTCCGCAATGTTGTTGGCTTGTTTTTGTAATAAAATATCTTTTAGGAGCAATAAGAGTTTAATGCGTACGAAATATTACGTTGCGTTGCCTATTATGTCTTCACCCGAATGAATCAAAAAGACTTGAAACGAAAATGCTTTAATACAAGATGAAAAAATCAAAAGAAAGTGTAATGCCATAAAATCCTAGACAGCTAATAATACTATCATTCTGTAAAAAAAAAAAAAACGTGAAACTGCGCTAAGTGAAATGACAACAAGTATTTTTCCAAATCATAACATTCGCATGCTTTTATGCCGTGACGAAGAAACCGATTACCGTTACTATGGTAACTGATTCCCTGACAAAGCTCCTTCGAAATCGAGATTCGAAAATGGACTAACACACTAACCAATATTCTCTTGATTTTCCTTGAAATATAATGCCGTTAATAAAATCTCTGAACTACCCAATTCAGAGATTGGTCCAACCAAACTCAATAGATGGAATGAAGTCTCAAATCACAAAGTGTAAATCGGATCCGTGGTTATGGCGAGGATAATGTCGGCAAAATAGTGGGATTTATCCCGCTTACGCCGCCAAAACCACTCTTCAATATAAGATGGAATGAAATCCCGACTTACACCGCTCATTCGTTTGCAGTCACATCACAGCTTTTTAATGTCGATCATATGAACTGCTTTGACGAACACAAGTCGGTGTGAATGGTTCATTGTTCGATGGATGTAATTCTGTGGGAGATTCTGAAAAACGTACCTGAAAATAAAACTTTGAACAATATATAATTGAATTTTTTTCGAATCAAGTATTTTACCATCAAATGCACTTTATAATACAATTCCATTTTTGTTCGCTGCTTTCCAATGCGTCACCTGGCACTGGAACAACATTTCGGATGGAACCGTTTCCAACATGGAGTGCATTCGATCATGGACTGATATTCAATGTACGACAGTGGCAGTTGCATGAAATCTGAATTTCCTATCTCTTCACCGCGGGTGCAACACGTTTTCGAAGACTATAACATCGCATATTTTCTTCCTGAGATTTTTCTCGTCGAATAGTATACGCTTTGATCTTGGTCATGCGAAACCTAATTGATAATGGACCACATGATACACTTGAAGTTTCTTGGTTCCTAGCCTTCGTTCATAAGAAGAGAAATCACATATTTGTCATTTTCAGTGTATTTCATATAAGTGCTATCATAAATCTGTATAGTATTTTGATCAGATGAGAATATATCCGAAGCCGTTATCCAGTGATTCTCATACACGAATAAGATTCGGACAAACTTAGAAACAAAGAAATGTACACTTTAGGGCCAGGATAGTGTTGTATAAAAAGTTGTGCTTTGCAAACCTTCTGCTTTAGGATACCGAGATGACAAAATTAATTGTGCGGTGTTAATATTATCCGAAGCAAACCAGCAATCCCAAGCAATGAGTTTTGGAATTTATTATTTTATGATCGAAATCAGATAAATGTACAAATTTTTGGAAGGAAATTGTCGGTGAGACGAACCACAACATTTTAGATTTTGTAAACGCTTGGCCTGCTTTTATCAGAATGGGGCTATCGTTATTTGCAAGTTCTTGGAAGCGAAACATCTTTAGAGGTCTAATATGGGCTGGAGATATACTCCTTTACATTTGTCCTTGCCTTGAAATCGGGATCGTTTACTCCCTTTCTCAATTTGATCATTGTCTTCAACTTTTATTTTTTTGGGACAAACAATAAAATCATCTTCGTATTCCCTAACCAGAGAGTCATGGAGTTCATGTAATCTTGTCCAGACGTTCGAACCGTCTGTTGTTTAGACCAGGGGTGTGCAAACTGTGGCCCGCGGGCCATATGCGGCCCGCAAATAGATATTGTGCGGCCCGAGAAAGGCCGATTTTGAACGGTCTGCCCGCGAAAGGAATTTTTGGTTTAGTTATATGGTACGTGCGAGCAATTCAATCCTTTGGAGTCGCAAAGCATATGTCAGTGCCTGTGTGTCACTGTCATATAAGCAAAACTAGCTATTTTTTTTATTGAAAACAATATTTTGAATGAAGATGCGGCGCGCATGTAATTGGCTTCATCCAATTACATAAATCTGGTCTTTCTGTAATAAAGGTTGCACACCCCTGGTTTAGACGAGTTCGCTTTTGTTCCTGCTGACTTTTTTTCATGATTCCATGAGTGCGATTATCTCGCGATATGTTATATTTCTCAGAAGTTGCGACTTTTGCGTGAAAAGTCGAATATTTTAAATAGCCAATTTAATTACCATATCTTTCTAAATCACCCACCATCAAACTTTCCCAAAGACATATCTTCGGGACATAGAATGTTTTAAATTTGCACAATATTTCCGAGCACTAAAAATTGTGGGAACCCAAAATTCCTGCATTACTTGCTATTCCAATGGCTGACAAAATGTTGCAATTTATTAATATCGTATAAGGATTTATCTCGCTCAA